CACTTACACACAAATACCCTTGAGAAAGGTATGAATCCTCATCTCCCCCCAACTATGGGTTAAATAGCATGACTTGTATTTGGAAAAATCATTGTTATTCTCAAAAAATTGTTAATTCACTTGAAAAAATTATTCTTAAAATCCAAAATATGTTTCGGTTTTAAATAATCCATAAAGTGGTGATAAGCTATGAAAAAACAAATCAATCAACTCCAAAACTTTTTGTTTTATCATCATTTACCTGACAATTTCTGTTTCATGCACTTTTCTTTTTTCTCAAGAATTTCTAATTGAAAATTCTTGAAAGAATTTTACCCTTTATCAGATAAGAACGAAAAGTTTTAATACTCACCAAATTAATTGATTTTTAGCAGATTTTTAAAATTGAGGCATCATTTGTTTAATTTTGTCTACAGAATCTCTAATTATTACAATTTTGTTTTATATACAGGTAAACAAGTTTTCACACCCACCTCTGATTCTATGATTTACACTTTTTTTTTATATTTTTTATATCAGACAATGGTTTAAAGTAAGCAAAAAGATATACATGGGTTACAAATATTGCACCATTTTATATTATATTTTATATCTGCCTAAAACTCTAAACTTTTATTTACTATTTATTTACATTTTTTTTCCCAATAGGAGTAAATATGTTTGCTTATTGTTTGGTTCACCCTCCTACCCCAGTCTTTTGAACAGGAGTAGAGGTTTATCCCTTATACCTGTTTAGGATTTGGTTTCTGGTTCCCTCTAGTCTTTTCCATCTCTTTCACTTCTGGTGTCCCCTTGTGTCCTGGTGGCATTGTCACCTTGCTTTGGGTGGTGCTAGTGGTGTATAAAAGGAGGTTATCTGCTCTTGAGGAGAGGAAGAGAAGAAACACAAAGATGGCGACGATGCATGAAGTTGAAGTGCCATCTCTTGCACAATTGAATCTGGGTTCTACAGCCGCTAATCACCAAATGGTTTGTGTGGGGGGGATAGAAACAATGGGAATGCATTTCATAGCAATGAATATAAGAGAAATAAAACAAACAAGAATGTTTCTTCTTTATCAGGGTGGGTTTGAACTAAGACAAAATTTACAAAATGTTGGCTGATGGAAATGAGATTTATGAGGAAACCCTGGCTCTTTTGAATGAACATTTTAAAACCAAAAGAAACCTAATGTATGAAAGACAGCAATTTCGATCAGGAATACAGAAACCTGAAGAAAGTACAGTGACTTATATTACTGCCTTAAAAATATGGCATATCCCTGCAAATTTAATGAATACTCTGCAGATGAGGCATTAGTAGACCAATTTAATGAAAGATGTTTGTCCAAACATCTTGGATGACAATTATTAAGAGAGAAAAAAATCAGAAATACCCCATATTGTTCAACTAGCAACAATAGTAGAACAAGCGGAGCAACAGGCCAAAGAAATTGAACAGGAAAATGTTGAAATTTACAAGCTACAAGAACAGAAATCCCGTTCAATAGAAGAAATAAATACTTCAAGAAAAAATAAAATGACCAAGCAAACTACGTGGATCCCCTCCTCAAATTCTGAAATGTATTGAAAGTGTTATGGTTGTGGTAGGGGTTTGCACTACAAAAATAGTGTACAGTGCCCACCCAGATGAAAACGATGCACATTTTGTCATAAGCTCAACCACTTTGAACAGATGTGTTTTACAAAGAAAAAGACACACAAAACTAAAGCTTGGTATAGTCCAAAATGATTTTAAGTATGAAGTAGTGTAAACAGAATCTGATTTGGTCAATTATATACTGATGGCAAATAAGAGACATAAATAAATCTGATGCAGTTATTTGCTTAGATGGTCAGACTATTTCAGTTCTGATTGATGCTGGTGCTAGTGTCAATCTAATTGATTGGGAATATTTAAAAACATATAAATTAAAAAATTGTGAAAAGAAAGATATTTATGTATGCCTCGAGATTTTCTTTACAAATAGCGGGTTTCAAATATTTCTGTATTGTCTACATATCAGATTTCATTGTTATCTGTTCATGTAATAGTAGCAATATCCTGAGTAAGAAAACTGCCAAACAATTAGGACTCTTATTTATTCCAAGCACTGTTACTACAGTGAATAATATCTCTTCACCGTGGGAGCCTATTTTAGTCAAATTTGCTTCAGTATTTAAAGAAATGAGCAGACTGGAAAATGTCAAAATCAAATTAAATGGTTGATCAAACAATAAAACCAGCATCCCAACCTTTACACTGTATTCCTTTCCATGTTTGAAAAAAGGTTGAAAATAAATTGAAAGAATTGCTTGACTTAGACATCATTGAACCAGTTATGGAACCCACCTTGTGGGTTTTGCCTTTAATACCAGTACCTAAGTGTAATGATGTCAGATTAGTAGCTGATATGCGGGAAGCTAACACTGCCATAAAAAGAAATTACTACCCCTGTATCCACACAAGAGGAGTCACTTGAAAAGTACAATAGTTTAGCAAAATTGACTTAAAACATAGATATCATCAGATTGAATTGGATGAGAAATCTTGTTACATTTCTACCTTTATTACTCATATTGATTTGTTTCATTATAAAAGGTTGGTACAAGGAGCTACTTCAGCATTTGAAGAATATCAAAATTGCATAAGTGATTTGTTTAAATATCTCCAAAAAGTGAATAATATTTCATATATTTTAATTGGTGGTATAAATCAAGAAGATCATGATTGAAATCTGAAAGCTCGTTTGAGAATTTTGCAAGAAAATAACCTCACAACAAACTTTGAGAAATGTGAATCTAATGTTCCTCAAAACATATTTTTAGGGCATAGTATTTTTAATAAGTGTATTCAACCAGCTGAGAATAAAATTTGAGCAATCAAAGAATTCAAGGAACCTAGTTCAATTTATAGATGTCTTTGGTCTAATAAATTATTTAAGTAAATTCATAAGAAATTTATAATCAGAAATGGAAGTACTTAGAAAATTGCTATGGAAGGGAGCTAAATGAGTATGGATTGATGCTGAAAAGGAAGCGTTTATTAAACTAAAAAATGTGATCACAAATGATACTGTGATGGCTCATTTTACTATCTTAATTGTAGATGCTGGACCAGTAGAACTTGGGGTCATTCCAGCCCAAAGATAACAGATGATAGCATGCAACCTGAGGCTTATGCTAGTAGAACTCTCACTCAGCAGGAGCACCATTACAGTCAAACTGAAAGAGAGGCTTTAGCTGTTGTTTGGGACTGTGAAAGATTCCACTTACACCTGTTTGGTTGTCATTTTGAAATATTGTCAGACCATGAACCTTTGAAAATTTTGTACCCTCATTCAGGAAGGCCATTGCCCAGTATTTTAAGCTGGGGATTATGGTTGCAGAGTTACTCCTTTACGATCAAATATGTTCCTGGACACTTGAGCCCTGCGGACATACTATCTAAACCAGTTCAGATTAATAAAGATGCAAATAATAATGATTCTTTACAAATGTATTTAAACCAAATAATTGCTTATACTATTCTGAAAAAAATGTATCTCTGTCAGAAGTCACATCATTCTCTAGGTACCACTATTCAAGAAATTTCTAGATGTGTAAAGAACAATGTGTGGCCAAAAACAAGCATAATAAACCTTATTCAAATATAAGGAATGAACTTACGTATAAATCAGGTCTATGCTTTATTGAAATTTGCCTTGTCATTCCAAAAACTTTTGCAACAGCAAATACTGAAACTAGCTCATGAAACTCACCAAGCTATTAAAAAGACTAAAGTTTTACTATGTGAAAAAGTATGGTATGGTATTGACAATGATATAGAAAAAATGATAAGGAATTGCTTGTCATGCTTGAGTGTTTCTAGGCCAAACACTCCAGAATCTATGAAATCAAAAACCATTGGACAATTGTGGAAAAGGTTTCATATCAACATGTGGACCATATGAAAGTGTTTGGGGTTTAATCGATGACTGCATTCAGTGGCCTGAAATCCATATAATTAGAGCTACAAACTTAAAAAACTATTTTAAATTATCTAAATAAGACCTTTTCTAGAGAAGAAATCATTGTTACAGATAATGCTCCCAACTTAAATAGTTTAGACAAACCAATTTTGTGAGTGAAATGGTGCAAGACAATAAGAAGCATTCCCTGCCAAAAAAAAAAAAGTGAAGTTTTGTTGAAATCGGTTGAAAAATGTAGGAAATCCGATCCCATATATAAAGGAACACACACACACACACACACACACAAACAACCTGGGTTTTATAATAAGTATAACTCGATATGAGTTGTCCCCCTTTCATTCTGGCGACAGAATTGTGTTTTATTGTGTTTTCAAATTGATTTTGTGCAAAACCAATTGTTTTTCCAATTTTTGGCGCTGTCAGAACCACCACAGGGTAATTTTATGCAGTCCTGTGAAGTTTTGTTGAAATCAGTTGAAAAATGTAGGAAATCCAATCCAATATATAAACGTACAGACACACACACACACACAATCTGCGTTTTATAATAAGTAAGATTTGAGTGTTTCAGACTTTGGTATCCACAGAGATTTTGAAATGAACCCCCCCAGAGATAACCCTTAAATAAAATGAATGAAAATACTTAATCTGAGACAATAAACAATTGTTGGTAAAAATAATGCATTAATGCTTTGAAAAAAGAAATTATTACATTTTTTTTATACTGACATTATTTACATTCAAATTCATGTTTGTCTGAATGCAAATAACTTTTTAACCTAGAAATTCAGACAGAAATGCATTTTTTTAAAGGGTCTTTTCTGTATTAAATTTCCTCACTTTTGAATTTTGCCCAATGAAATGCTGTAGACATTGTATGTGGTTGGTGAGTACAAAGTTTAAATATTAACCCCCATTTATATATAAAAAAAAGCTAATTTGTCTGAATAAACCACATGCAATAGTTTTCATCTATTTTTTTTAAAACATTTTCTTTTATTTGCTGTCTGTCTCTTTCTCATTTTCTTTTTCTTTTTGCTCAACTAGATTCTGTTGTTTTGCGAAGGAACTCGGTTCACAGAAGAAAAACACAAGATCAGCATGGAAGTGGCTGACCAGAAAGGTCTCCCCCGACTTCGGCATCACCTACTCCCACGTACAAAGGGCTTTGTGTTGTCTCTACAAGCAATGAAAGGTAAAAGTACGTATAAAAAGGAACTTACTGTATTCCTCTGATTCAAGATCACTGAGTTAAATGATTATTCTGTTAAATTAAAACTGGTATGGTTTATCTTACCTTTGGCTCCTCTTATGGTCTCCAGTTTTATAATCATCTTCATGTATCAAAATTGAATTGTTAGGGTGTGTAACAAGGGTGTGTAATGTTTATCAATTTAAACAGAATCCAATCAAATTTTAAATACATTTAGTTCTGTGACATGTCTACATATATACTGTGAATGAAATGTAGTACAGCAAATGGTCTACAAAGCATTTACAAAGGTGAAAATTGGAGATATGGGTGGCTTACTGGTTACCAGTATGGAAAATGGATATGGCAAATGTAGTTCAAATTCTGGCTGGGACAATTTGTGTTCAATTTACACTCATGTCTTTAGGAATGGTAGTAGTTCACTTCCATGACCTCTATGGGTAAATAGCATAGGTCTATTAACTCTGTAAGGAGTCCATCTTGAGAGCTTCTAAACATTCACTTGCAACTATGCTTGACAGGTGGGCCACAGAAATAAATAACAATTATGAAAAGTTAAACAGTGCAAAAAGCTGAAATTAAAGTAACTCTTCAGTATTTTCTTTTAATCTTGTTACTACAACACACTTGAGTTTCTGAGCCACAGCATAGATTTTATATGTTTAAAGACAACCTCCCCCACAAAAATAGATAGACTTGAATTATTTTGAACTACTTGATTAGTATGAATGTTATAGAGATAAACATTTCAGCCAATTACTCTCCGGGCCTCATCAGGCATCCATTGTTTGGCTGATATAGGATATCTGTTGATTATGATGACGGCCACTTGGGTACTGGCTGAAACATTTGTCTCTATAATAACATATGTAATATCAAAGATGAGAACAATAGCTTGTAATAATTTAAGTATATTAATAATTACTCATCTCAAAAATGAAAAAAAAAATTCTTAAAACATCAATTTTATAACTCTTACATGTAATTGCTACTATATCACAAAGAAAATTAAACATGTGGACTAAACAGAAATAGCCATTGAAATGTTAAGAAAATTTAGTTTCCAAAAACTAACTTTATCCCATACTTTGACATCCAAATTAAGTACATAAGATTTTACAGCCCAAAATTAGCTTCAAATAAGATTTGAACTTACATCCTATATAATTGGAGTGATGTTTTGAAGTCATGTCCTTGCTGCTTGACTACCAAAGTCTACTGTTTTCTATTCTTACAGCCTTTCTTCTTAATTCATAACACTTTTTGTTAATGGCATATGAAAGAAGTATTTTTCAATATTTCATACAAAGATGAAGCTAGTTATTTTGTACCTGTGGGCTTTGCATCCACAGATTCAACAAGCTGAAGTCTAAAAGCAAGATCTTCAGAGTGGCCACCTGTTGTCCATAAGTAAATGAAAACTTTTGGGGGTCAAGTGTCATTTGGCTGGAAGTTGGGGAATTCTGGTCATATTCTTATATAGGCAAGGTGACAGTAAGTCAGTTACAACCCAGCTGTTAGTGGGTGATGTGCCATTGATTGGAGATGTAGAAGGGCTGAGTCAGAAAGCCACATATTGTGATGTAGCGATGTGCAGTATGGTGGTAGGAGAGAGTTGGCAATCAGTGACAGGAAAAACAGTAAAAGAGAGATATAGATTTAGAGGCTAATGGAATTCTTGCTGGCCAAAGTGAAGATCTAGTCCATTTGTTGTAAAGGATAGAAGTAGCAGCAAAGATGTCTAAATTGTTACCTACCTTGTCTGCAATCTATGCCAGGTGAATTTGTGAATAAATAACCCAGAATATTGGAAACAGGATTTGTGCTCTTTCACATTTTTTCCTTGGTACACAGGGCCTTTCCCAGTTTTTATACATACTAAAACAAATGAGAATCCATGGGGTCATTTGTCTAGTCCATGAAAGATTGTAAGGGTCCTGGTTGTATGCTTATGCAGCTTTAAAAATACAATTTCAAAAAGTAATTGTATTTTGTTAATCATTTTTAATCTGTTTTTTTTTTTTTTTTTTTTTTTTGTGATATTCATAAATGAAGTATTAATTTGTTGATGCCTTTTATAATCAGATTGCATTGTTATTTAATAGAAGACATTTTCTACCCTGAAAGCAGTAACCACATTTGTATTTAGATCACTGCTTGGAAATAAAGGGAAAGGCTTTTATTTTCCTCCAAATAAATTCGTTTTTACAGTGAAGCAAGTGAGTTAGATATAAAATGGGAATTTGATTTACAATGTGTGTATAAGGCAAGACTGACTCTGTGTCTGTCCTTATGATTGTAGAAATTCAATTTACAGTGTAAATATAAACTAAGTCCTGAATTTTGAGGTAAGAGTTTTTGTGCATATAATTATTGAGCTACAGTTATTTTTTCTAGAATTTTATTGACAATGCCAGGAACTTTTATTGAGAATGTATTTGATTTAAAATAAGTCTTTGTTTTTATAATCAGCATAATATGATTCACAACAGATGTGACAATTACAAAAGAAAAATATTTATAGTAGTGGGGAGTCTTAGGGTAATTTGTAGAACCTGGTCTTGTATAATTAAAAAAAAAAGTTGGGTGGGGGGGAGTCTATCTTGCCTTCTTGTTTCTTGGCACTAAAAAGATAATCCTGTGTAAACCTCTCCCCTTCTCTTTTCTACTCTTAGCAACTATTTATTTTAGAGGGTCTCTAATGTTGGAAGGGATTTTTACTTGTGTCATCATGATTGCATAAATGTTTTTTGTTACAGTTGACAAAAGTTGTTATGGGTTTTAGAAGCTGTCATATTGGCTTGTGATCTCAGTAATCTAAAGATAGAATGACAAAAAAAAAAAAAGGCTGGATAGTTGGCAGGTGGGAGAGAGAGGGATGTTTTTATTCTCCCAGCAGGATATTTGGTAGAACAATTGAAGAAGACATAAAATAATACTCTGCAGAAGAATTCTTTTGCTTTTTCTTTCTAGACTATTTATGCTGGAGATCTATTCTTCTTCTTTAACCTCCCCTTCTGCTCCCACTGTTTTTTTTATCTTCCTCTGCTTCTCTGTTTTGTTCCCCCACACTGCTGCCCTGTTTCACACAGTTTATCTACTCCTTCCCCACCACTTTCCTTTCTTCTTTCCCCATCTGTGTTTTCTTGTTCACCCCCACGGCTATTTTTCTTCTCTCTCTCACCCCCTTCCCCTTTTTTTTCTTTTTTCCCCATCTGTGTTTACTTCTACCTCCACTTTTTTCTTACCCCCTCCCTAGCGAAGGGGGTGGGGACATGAGATTTTTTTTTTAAATTTCGTGTTTTTCCTGCTCGTTTTTCCTCCCCACCCCCCTGCTGTTTTTTTCTTTTAAAATAAATGAAAATAAATGATACCCATTGTCACTTTACAAAAGATAAAAATCACAAACTTAGTCAAGTGTATTTTTTAGTTTTTTTTCTTGTAGTTTTGGTCAAAAAGTATCCAAGAAAAGACAACTCTATTTTTACTTTTATTTTTTTCCTTAGTTCCTGTGATTTATGACTGTACAGTGGGTTTCCGCAAAGATGCAGCTGAGCCAACTCTTATGAATATCCTAAATGGACGAACATGCCGTGCAGAAATGCATGTAAGGTGAGGCTCAATACAATTCTTAGAATTGCTTTCTTCATTTTATTTTAAATTTGAAATCTGCAAAAAACTGTCTTTGAAAATATTTTTTTATTTATATCTTCATTTTTCCTACTTATTCAAGGAGGGAGCATGTTCGTTATTATTTCCCCCTCAATCAGGTTCCACTCTTTGTTGCCTTTTTTTTACTAATCTATTTATTGTTCTTTTAAGACGAATCCCAGTTGAGGAGATACCCTATGAAGATGAAGAAGCCTGTTCTGTTTGGCTTCACAATCTCTACCAATACAAGGTAGGCAGGGGCTTTGTCATTAAGATTTTTATGTGTGTCTGGCCTTGAACATATTACACCAATGGAAGGTAGAATAAATTGTATTAATATACTGACCAAACATGAAAAGAAATAATTTGTTTAAATTTGTTTGTGAATAGACATTGAAATATTAACAAGCATCAATTGTGGCCTGCATCAAGATGTTATGTCTATTCTTCAATTATTTCCACCTTTTTCACACACACACAATTTTGAATCTTCAGGCATTTATATTAATCCTCATATAAAATGCAATGTGAAGCTTTATATATAGTATTTACAATTTGTTATATTTATATGGATAAAGTGTTTATTATTGGAGATGGTTTTTTGGGACAGAGAGAGTGAGGACATAGAAATCAACAGTGCATATCCTTTACAACTCCGCACTAACTTTTGAAGTTGTATCCCCAGGATCCACATTAATTTTGGGTGTGGTAAGTTTTTGAATGGTGGGTATATTACTAGCACTGTAACTTTTAGGGTTTTATAGATTTTGTTATAAAATTTTCAGGGTATTGCATGAAAGTACAAAGTGTAGACATATTTTTTTTTTTTTACAGTATATATGACAAATTTTGAGGAAAAAAAACATAAAATTTTTTAAAAAGTTTGTATTTTATTAAGACGCTTACTTGTTAATTGTGTAGTTGACCAAAGTATGATAGCATTCAAAGCAGAGCTATGGATATATGTGAAGCTGACAGCACTTAGGTAATTTGGCAACTCTTTAATCCCTCCTGAAGCAGACCACACAGTTTGGTGCAAAGGGCTTTCCAGTACTGACACTCTTGGGATACATTGTGATGTAGTGTTCACCTATAACCAGCCTGTTTGGAATATCATTGGGGTGCCTTCCTTGGTGAGAGCTCACAGTCGACTAATATCCTTCAAGAAGTCCGTGTACTATCTTCAGGTGAAATTTCTTAGCCATTGTTTGACTGGGATGTAATGCCTCCCAAATTACCCAAGAATTACAAAAGCAGCCTTCAAATAAGTTAAAAAAAAGCTTTCTTCCACCACTTCAGTGCCTTTTTTTTTTTTTTTTTTTTTTTTTAAAGAAAAGGTTAGCAGCTTGTCAAAGTGGTCAACTCCTCCCATGTTTCTAGTGTAGCTCTAAATGGCGCAGGGCTTGTCCATGATGTGAACATGATCCTGGCAATGCTCCAATCTAAATTCCTTCCGGAAGGTTTGGTTTGGTTTATTTTGTTTTACGGCATATCAACCTCAATTGGTTACTTAATGCTGACAACATTTTTAGGATAGATTCGTATGAATAGAATATGTATTCTTTGGTTTAGGATGGTTTATTTTGTTTTACGGCATATCAACCTCAATGGGTTATTTAATGCCGACAAAATTTTTTATTGCTGGTAATATTTTGTTTTATCAAAAATCTGTTTCTGGTAATATATTTCCTTCAAAATTGTATCGCTGGTAATAATTTTTTTCAAAAAAGTATTGCTGGTAATAGTTAACTATTTGCCCATAGCTGGGACCCTAACAGGTGCTACCACCCTCCTTCCTGAAGGTCTGCTTGGAATGGCAGGTAAGAAGCAGGTCACACCAGGACTAAAAGAGACTGTTTACATCATGCTTGGTAATGGCAGGGTGGTCATTTGGCTTGGGTTTCACATTCTAGATTTCAGCAGTTATTTGTCTTAAGGGTACTGCATACGTCCATGCCATTCTTGGATAACTCGTCAAACAACTCTGGTGAAGTAAAGAAATTGTCCACATAACTCACATGGCCATGGTTGTAAAGTAGACAAGCCATTGATGTGACTACCCTATACGTAACACTTGGTATGTCTCTAGTATTTGTTTCTTTGTTTCTTTTCCTAAGTACAGTTTCCGATTATAAAGGTAGCCAGTCTCTGCTTTCTGCAAGTGCCCAGGATTTCATAACGGCTTCTTGTCATGTATTGCATGAGATTTATCCTCCTTTTGAAGGTGATCATACTTTCATCCAAACTTATTTTAGCAGGGGTGTAGTACCTTTTACCAAAGTAAAAGAGTTTCAACAAATTGTTTTATTTTGAAGTCTTTTTCATATCTGGGTGGGCAGGATCATCTCTGGGTACTGGCGTTGAATTATCAACAAAATGAAAATACAAGAGAATTGATAAAAAAAACAATTCCTACTCATCATATTGTGAAAGCCTTGCATATATAAAAGGGAGTCTGTTGTCCAGTAATATGAATACAAAGGTCACTTTGTCAAACCTATCAACAAAAGCAAGGTCAAAAATGCTTTCATTTCTTCAAAGCAAACATTTTTCCAAGCTCTGATTTCTGAGTTAGGCTTTGTTGTGTGACCTAATTTTGCTTGCACATCATTTGTATAGCGGTTAGTTTCCCCTACCATTAATTGAATATTTTCATCAGATAAAAAAAAACTCTGATAGCCATGGGTAATCGTATGTGTGTGATGGTTTAAAAATTCCTCCTTCTTGGTCAGAATCATTTTCAGTCTCATCGTCATGCACATCACCAATATCTCTGTGAGTAAATCTGAGAAATTCTTCTTTGTTGCTCTCACTGTCTACAAAAAGTTCTTCCATCAACATAACAGGTTCATGCCTTACCCCAGGGGTCACCCTTGTGATCAAAAAACAAATGTTTTTAAAACACTTTATTAAAATTTGCTATTTCAATTAGGACAAAATGGCTGACATCCAGGCATTCCCAGTTCATATCACAAGCTTGATGATATTATTTCCATAGTAATAGGTTATTTTTAGAGACATACATTCCCTTTGAAACAAAGCATTGTCACTCTGTGAGCATGTCTGCCCAGAGAATATTGAGAAAGAGTGTCACTGGTAGACATGTATGCCTGCAGAGTTGTTAAAGGATATTGACTGTCCATTTCATGAATCAATATGATTTTCAAACTTGGACTGAAGATTGCATGAAACTGACAGCCACCATACAATATTGATCCCTATGTCCACACTATCTATATCTAAGTCAGGAAGATAAATTAAACATTTAATTTGTTGCTGCCCCTGTTTATCACACACACAATCTGAAAATAATGTGTATCTGTACAAGAACAAGATGAATAAAAAGAGAGGAAATTCCAGGTGTACTGGTCTTGTTCAAATGTTGATTATGCCAGATAGTTGTTGTTATCTGTTTTTCAGATGTTTTTTTTAGTTTTGTCTAATTTTAATCTGTTTTGTCTTTTCATTCAGGACAAGATATTTCATGAATTTACCATCAAAGGCCGTTTTGAAGGTCTACAGAAGCATAAGGTACCTCGACGATACTGGGATTTAAGCATTTGGATTGGCTGGGCTGTTGTTTTGTGTACGCCTCTCATCCTGTATACAATGAAAATCATCAGGGAAGGTTCCCACCTATCAAACTTGCTTTTGCTTGTTGCCGCCTTTGCATGTAAGTAAAATGAAAAATTTCTTTCCTAATGTTTTTATATATTTTAGTGATTTTTTTTCCCTTACAAATCCCCAAGAGATGATTATTATTGCTGTTCACACTATTTTTTTTTTTTTGTTATCAATAAAAATAAATATTTACAAAGCAAAGGATTGAAGATGAAATACTTTTTTCTTGATGCTCAAATCATCTTCATAAAAGGTATTTCTTGATTTGTACACTGTTTACAAACATATGATCATCTTGTTTAGCAGTATAGACTGTTGAACACTAGCAGTGGGAGTGTCACCTAGCTCCACCATTAACATGCTAACACACTCACCATCAGCAGCTTCCAGTTTCATCTTAGCCAATTTCATTTTTAAAACAACCCATAATGTGAAAGTCAAGCAATACCTAAAAATCATACTGTTTACAAACATATGATCATCTTGTTTAGCAGTATAGACTGTTGAACACTAGCAGTGGGAGTGTCACCTAGCTCCACCATTAACATGCTAACACACTCACCATCAGCAGCTTCCAGTTTCATCTTAGCCAATTTCATTTTTAAAACAACCCATAATGTGAAAGTCAAGCAATACCTGAAAATCATACTGTTTACAAACATATGATCATCTTGTTTAGCAGTATAGATAGATCACAGTTGAACAGTGGGTGTGCTACCTAGTATTTGGATTGGCTGGGCTGTTGATCTGTCAACACACTCACCATCAACGGCTTCCAAATGGCTTCATCTACCCAATTTAAAGTTTGGATCAATCGATGCTATAATTTTCAGGCACTTCCTGATGGTACCACATGCTGGGATTGCTTCTCCAGGACGATATTATCAATAAGTCACATTCTTAGCTAATCGAGCAGAGTGAGAATCAAATCCAAGATGAAAATGAAATACTTAAGGTCAGAACACTAGCGTTCTAACTATGCTGCCACTTCTTAAAATATATATAACATGGTTTTATTTTTTGAATTCAGACTTGTCCTTCACCTAGAGAGGTTGCCTCTCACAGCAAGAAAGTGCAGTCTGCCTTTCTATTTAACCCCTAGCTAAGAAGAGAAAAGATATATTCATACCTTTCCCAGGAGTATGTGTGTGCAAGTAGATGCCACAAACTCAACTGGAATTTAAAATTAGCTCACAATTTCTAGTTCCAAGCCACTAACCATTACACCATCTGGACATGCACTTTTAAATATTCTAAAATTAAATCTTAACAATGAGATTACCAATTTTTTTCTGTCTGAATTTCTAGGATGAGGATTTGTCCTTATTTACATTTTGACTAAAGACTTTTTAAAATTTCTTTTTTTTAATTTACATCATTTCACCCTCAAGTAAGGCAGTAAAAGCCACTAGAATGTAAGTGATTAGTGAGAGTGAAAGAAACAGTAGCCAATAAAAAAACAGTATTCAAAGAGGCAGATGATGACAACATTGCATTTAAATTTTTGAAGATCATAGTTGACAAGAAAGCAGAACAGTTCCACAAGTGAGAAGTGCAGGAGAAACTATTAGCATAGAACTTTTGGTTTCATTTAGAAATTTCAACAGTGAGACTTAACTGCCAATCTGGTACTGCACTTAAAATTTGTGAAGTTGAGATACAAAGAAAGTTCATCATAACAATTACCATGAAAATATTTATAGAAGGGAAAAAGAAGGCAAAGGGAAGCTACATTGTGACAATGAGAAAGTCACAGATGCCAAAATGACAGGTCAGGACCAATAACATTGCAGCTTCTTTTGTCAAGAATCTCTTGATGAAAAAAAAAAAAGCACCACCATACCAGATGTGGCAGTAATATTTGACGAACAGATAGACTTTGTTATATCCTTATGCAACCAAAACTCCTGCATTTTACACACAGCAAACTATCTCTCTTTCCACCTTTCTAATAATATACATTAACTCTCCCTCTCAATCTGTAATAGTAGTCGCTGATTACAAGAACAATTAAGTCAGACAGGCTGGTGACCCCAGTAACACATGCAAGTGAAAGCTAAAAATAAATTTCATGCATGTTCAGAATCACATAATCAAGCAGAAATGTTTAGCGAGAAATATTAGAAGAAATCAATTGGGGCAATGAATCTTGAGGGAGTCAAACCTGCCATGAAGCTGTCATGTAAAAGGATTCACCAAACTGAAGAGAAGGAATGCTATCCCCAACTCACACAAACTCCCAATGCAATATCAAATGGAATCCAAGTCTTGTGCAAATAACATCTTTTTACTTGTTATCATCAAGCAAAGGAAATCACACAATAAAGACAACATCCAATTTAACTCATCATACTATGCTGTTTATACCAAATGCATGGGTGAATTATTAAGTGTGATAATCACCCAAGACGGGCATGTGTGACTCACTCAATTGGACGGCTTCAAATCTTCCTATCTGAATGATAAATTCTAAATTGCTGAATATGTGAAGAAGAGAGTGAATGACCAGCTCTTGAGGTAAAAACTCATAACATTGAAGAAAGAACAATATATCAAAATAACTGAACTGAAAGTAAAATGAACAAAGAGAAATATAAAAAAAATGAAAGAGAGGCAAAAGGGGGGAAAACCCTATTTTATTTCAGGTGAATAGCCAAAGCTAAGTTAATTTTGACTTTCCACATCAGATTTAGAATGTATACATCTTTCCATGCAGAAATGTATAGTACACACCTTTCCACACATTTCCTTGCATTAATGTTTTCATGTATTGTCTCGTTATACTTGATTCTTGTTAATTTGTATATTGGCATTTGTTGTTCGTTACTGTTGGTTGTTTCTCCTCATTTGTGTATTTGAACCTGTAGAGAATCATTTCCACTATAGAGTGGTAAACCTCGTCATATCCTTTGACAACAAGTTGCTTTTTTTTTATCTTTTCTTTTTTTAAAGTGTATACTGTGATAATTGTCTGTAACAAATTATAAATGTGCAAGATAAATTCTACCAAGGAAAATTGTCTAACACAACAACTTTACTAGCAGCAGACTTAGCAATTGATTCTTTGCTATAATCATTCCACTCCTTTCAGTGGAAAATGTTAGCCTGATAAGGTGCAGTGAGTTGCATAGAAAAAGAGTCTAATGAATTAGTGTTGGTTCATGAATTTGGTAGCATAATAATTGTTGAGTTCAATCCCTGGGCTGAGTAGTTCAGACTCAAGAGCAAGAACTCAGCAGTACTTAAAAAAAACCAAAAAAAAAAACCAACTAGACAGGAAATCAATATCAAGACAAGAACCATCTACCCCTGTAAATAAAATAAATGCCAGGGTTTGTAATTCAGTAAACAAAATTCTGTACATAAAAATGCATCCCTTTTCATCATAAGCCAGAATGCCATTTCCCTCACTTTTCCAAGATTGTCCAACCCAAAAAGATCATTCCAAATAATATGTATACATTCATTCTTTTCCATATTAGTACATATATGGATTATTTTTAGAGGAGTTTTACAAATTTAATAGCAATAGAAAATGTTGATGGATTGCATGTACAGCAATTTGTTTTAATTCATAATTAATTATTTAATAAATAAACTGAAACATATTTCAATATTTATTTAATAATTATAAATTAAAACAAATTACTGTACATGTATTCAAGTTTAAAAAATCCATCAACATTTTCTATTGCTATTAAATTTGTGAAACTCCTCTATAAAAATAATCCATGTGTATGTACTTGTGACAGAATGCTAATAATTTGAACAAAGAAAAAATGCTTAAATTAAATAGAAAGTGAACACAAAGACAAAGAAGGTAGTAGATAGACTGAAGGACATACAGAAAACAAAAGAAAATCTTTTATTTTTGTTTCTCATTTCATGAATAAGGACCTTGTTAGAAGATAGCACTGAAATCCACTTATGCATCAGGTTAAAGTGAAGCCCAGGGGATGATGTGAAGGAAGTGCGATAACATCCACGAGTTGGCTGGGGCTGGCATTGTTTTGCACAAAGACCACCGGGCTAGTCACAAATAATAATAATTTCATGACTCCAAGTGGTAAAGACACAAGGTAATTCTGGACTGCTTGGAAAGGGATTGGGAACAAGATTTTCTTAGGCCGGAAAGTTTCGGTCTAGTAGGTAAAATATGAAGAATTACAGACCAAACATGATAAACAGGAATAAAAAAGCCAGATAAAAATTTAATGATGGTATTAAAAGTAATACCTGTTTTGTGTCAAGCATCCATGGGTCAGGTGGCAGTGTAAGGAGCTGATATGAGGAAGTGGGAGGAAAATGAATATGCCCACTGAAAGGTACTGGTGTGAGGTGTGAGCAAGAGAAAGTGGGGTAGAACAAGATGACAGATCAATGTGTTGTTACTGCCTCTCCTGCAGTAGGAGCTCCCCATATTTGGAAATATGCAATTTGCTTCCCAGGACACTGTCAACAGAGAGTTCTGATTGGATATTTGGAAAATCCTGGAACTCCAGATTGCATCAGACCCCACACCAATACTGGATGAGGGTCCACAAAAGCATTAGATCAGAGGGGAGTTACAGACAGAGTAGCAGCTGAAACAGAGATGCGCTTCCATTACACCAAGAGATAACCGCTTTGTCAATCCCCACGTGATTTGCTGCTATGAAGAACACCTGACTGATGCCTTGTTCCAAACTATTAGATAAATTGAGCGGAGTGCCTTGATGAAATTGCAAAGTGGGAGAATTGAAAGTCACTATATAATGACAAAGAGAAAGACGAGTGTTTTGTCAGCATTTCGTAATTTGCTGCTTAAAGAAGTCTCTGACTTAAAGTTTGAAACCTCGACTCTGACTTGGAAATGAATAAAGTGTCACAAAATTAGACTGAGGGAATGGTCATTAGTCTGCACGCTTGTAGATTCTTATATGAAAAAGTATTCCTGTATAAACCTCAATTATATAAACCTTGTTGATCTACACAATTTTCTTTTCTTATAACATCGTCCTGTCTGAATGATACAATCCAGCAATATCTGGTGATGATTCAATCCTTGCTTGCCTTGTGATCAAAACAAACACAACATGAGACAGGGAGAAGCTTGGATTAAAGTGACCAACTTTATGGACACACTGGTGACCAAAGACGGGACAGTGTTGTCATGTAGCGCAGAGAATGTCCTGCAGCATTATATACTAATATGGAAAAGAATAAATGTATGCCTATTACTTGGTATGATCCTTTTGGGTCAAGCAATCTTAGAAAAGGGCAGGGGGTGGATGACATTCTGACTTATGGTGAAAAGGGGTGAGGACCACTGGTCTACAGCCATTGAAACAAAGTTCAAATAGTCAGATTTTGATATTCACTTTAACATTGAGGATAAATTAACTTTAACTACAAATCTTCATATATGTGCTTAAAGGCAAAAGGATAATTTTGTAGTACTACATACACTTTCTTCATCATTCTTTTAAAATATCCTTTTTATTTTTTTAATTTTCCTATTATATGTGGTTTTTTATTTTTCCTGTTTCTTTTTAGTGACATATGTTGCAACACGCTGGTCCATGGGACTAAGTGATATCAAGAAAGGTTCTTCCTATGGCAAGATGAAATAGATGGTTCTGATGTCATGGAAGAAGGAGAACAATCCTATTGAAACAATATATTTTTTTTCTATTGATATGATCTTGAATCATGTTACCGTGGCAAATGATTTGTAAATCATTTTAACAATAGCTGTTTGTGTTACCCATCTGTTACTATTGTGCAAATTGAATTTAACCAAAAATGGATCTCTTATTGTAGAAACCAATCACCAACAGAATGTTATTTTAAGATCTAAAATGTTTTAACAAAATGGTCTACACATTTTTTGCTGTGCAATTGTATTTTTAAGTTGATATTTAACCCTCTGTTAGTACTGTGGAGTTTTCAAACACCACATTTGAAATATTATAGATGCCTCATTAAGGTTTTTATTTTTTTTGTTATATATTGTCTTATGTTCTTTCTGGTTTTTATAGGTTAAATAATGATAAAAAAAGATTTTATTTTGGAAAATCAAATTAAAAATGTCATTATCAAAAAATGAATTAAGCTTCAAAAGTTCAAATATGCAAAAATAGATTTAATTTTATTCTGTGTAAACAAATCAAATTGCTTGTAATTCCTGCAAATATTACATCTAAAACGAGTAACTTGACAGAAAGCTACTTATGATGAAAATGTACAAAAATGGATTTAATTTTATTTTCAGTAAGATCTTTTAAAACAATTTATGATCAGAGTTCTTTTCAGCTGATTTTCACATTCCAAGCAATGAACAAGAAGATTATTGTAATCTTTGAATTCATTTCTACTACTATTTTTACAGACAGTCTTTACTTTGGTCAAGTGCTGGTAAATTACACAAATATTATGACTAAAATCAGAAACCCTTTGTAGTTATTTCACAGAGGGATTCAGAAAGCTACTTGATTAATTATGAAAATTTGACTTGCCACTTGATAAAAGTTAAAGGGAGACTTTTTGTGGGTCGTTCAAACACCCCACGGTACTAACAGAGGGTTAATAAATACCAAGATTTCAAATAGTAATCTCTACACTTTGTCAAGCGTAGGTGCTTTGTGGTTTTTCCGGTGAACACTCAAAAATAAAGCTATATTGCTACTATTCCTGCTATACTGATTGGAAGTGTCACAAAGTGGAATGTTGGATCTTAAATGTTTGTTTTTTTTTTTATCTCTAAGCACAAAAAAAAGCATGAGTGAACCTGTCTAAGAGGCGGGGGGGGTGGAATTTACAGAATGTTATTTGTTATCAGGAAATTATTATTTTTTTTTTTTTTTTTTTGATTCATTATTTAGGTGGTTCCTAAGAAACCTACGCCCTTCTGAGGTGTGAGTGTGAGAAAATGAGAAATTTATGCCCCCTCAGGTGGGTTAGTGTGAGATGATAAATTAGAAGAGACAAGGAGACTTTACTTTTGCTGACAGATTTGGGCTTTGAATTAAGCTTAGACTGTCTTCTGTAGTTAGGACCAAGGATGAGACTGAAGGGGGAGGGGTATATTAAGAGGAAAGAAGATGAAACTAGCCAAAAGTATTTAACCACTTTCCTGATTTAGCAGAGATTATATTCAATAAATATTCAGACATGAATATGTCTATTTATATATGAATCTGTGTGAGTGTGAGTGTGAGAGAGAGACTGTGTAACAAGCATTCCAAATTATTACAGATAACATTTATTATTTTTATTTTTAAGTTCATGAATCAAAAGAGAAAAAGAAAATTTTGTCCAAATATGATAAATACAGATTAATCAACAATACTGGCAAAGTAAACTTTCTAGTTAATTGGGCCATTGAAGAAGAAAAAAGTCACAATATTCATGTTATATAAACCCATACATAATTTTTGTGTGGTATTACTTTCTAAAATAATGCATTTACCACTTTAAAATAATTGATGATTTAAAAAAAAAACAACAAAAATGAATGAACCAATGCAAGATTTCACTCACCAATGTTGAATTTTCTAAAAGTCACTTGTGTATAAAAAAAAAATAAACAGTCCATACATATATATATATATATATATATATATATATATTTACAAATATTATAAAGCTATGCTAATACAAGGGTGAGTCAAATTGTATTCCCTCCTATTTCCTTTTACTAATTGGCTGGTTATATATCCTGAGATATCACGGGTAGGAATTATTAAACACATGTGTCAAAACTGATTTGTTTTAATGATTACAGAAAATACTGTCAACAGGAGTGAAAAGAAAAAAAAAATAGAAAGGTTCTATTTTTAGTGTTGACTGCATTTCAACCCTATTTCCACTTCTCTGATCACCTCCTACTGACTTTATTGCTGCTCCCCATTGACCTGTTGTTCTTTTCTGCACTAACAAATAAACTGGGTGTGGTAATTGATTAGGCAATGAATTTTGTAGTTTTTGTTTCAGCAAGTTTTTTTTTTTTTTCACTCATTCTACATATTGTGCATTGAAAAACAACACAAAAGAATTCAATTCAATGGTCAGGAATTAAGGCAAGTGTTACTAATGAAATTGGGCTTATTAAATGTATAATAGAAATCTTGATTGCCAAATTCTAGAAGCCTTTTGGTAGCAGAGAAAGCATTATGATATTCTCAAACTGTAACCATTTTGATGCTACACCTTGACCATTTACATTTGAGCAGGCATTGTTCAGTAAATGTAATATACTTAGGTTTGCTTGCAGTGATTTCCTGTTGACCGCTTCAAAGCAGCTCAATAAACAAACTTTGACCAGATAATAATTATAAAACAAAGGATGAACCTAAATTATCCTCCTCTGGAAAAAAGAAAAGAAAAAAAATCAAATTATACCTCTATACTATAATAGTTGTTGCATTTACATGCTTATTTCACATACTAAATGTAACAATTATTATGGGACAAAGGCAGTACTGTTACTATTTTGAGTGTCTATCTGCATGCTCACCATCATGATGCTATTTTATGACTGCATAATCATTGAAATATTAACAAAATCAAGGACACTTTTTAATGAGGAAAAAGAAAACAGTTATTGTCCATTAGACAATTTTTAAAAAACAAAATGTAAATAATTCTGGAAAACATACCTTTTAGGTAAATATTTATTTTATCACAAGGTTTCAACTGTGTACCCTTCAGCCTTTGTTCAGTATCTCTTGTATTCTGGGATGGGGGCCATATTTTACTTTGAACATATGATGATTTAAAATGCCTTGTCTAACAAAATATTATCTTGTGTCTGAATAAAACTCAAAGAAGTGAAAATATACAACTAAAACAAAATTGTCAATTTTAATATCTTAAATTCTTATTCACCTTGTTCTCAATAGTGAAACATTAAAATTAATCATGATTTCTGATTTTTGATTGCCTGTAAGCATGTCTTTCAGTTATTGCTATTCTGGTTGTTAAAGTATTGATTACCAACATTTTTTATTTTTTAAGTATTACTTTTGTTACATACACACACAAAATTATGTAGTAGTCAATTTTTTGTTTCCTATCTTCTGTGACTCAGTTTCATGCAATGGTAACTTTCAGGCAGCAAGTTGCCTACATAATCCTGAAGAAATCTCCATTCTTTACATTGACACTCTTATTACCATTTTTTTAAAAAAAAAAATGGTCTGCATCATTTGTTTACAATCTTAAAGTCATATATATATATATATATATATATATATATTATAAATAATTTTCTCAATCTGTAATGTTTCATTGAAATTTTCATCTAGTCCTTACCAGATAGATACACAGGGCCTGATGATTGGAAATTTGAAACTATAGCAGTGAGTAGGTTAATTGTATCTTATATATATAAATAAAAGAGAGAGATATGAAAAAAAATTTGCAGTCAATTGCTGAAACCTCCTGATGTGTGGACCAAATGATTACAAAAAGATTCATCTACAAAAACTCTGGAGTCAGGTTGCTGAATATAACACAAATCAGCAAAGTGACAAATTTCATATTTGTATTAATCATTATAGATTTCTTAAAAAAAAAACTAATTGCTTACATTACAGGTATAGAACTGAAGCTAGCATATAGATTTTGTAGAAGTCTCAAGGAGAGATGTGCATTCTTTAAATAGATGATTCAAACCTTACTTCTAGTAACATGGGCAAACTCATGGCAACATGTTTCACCTATAGAAGTGGTTTCTCTGATGGAAAAAGAGATACAGGTTTGATTCCTATAAAAGGGACAATCTTAGTGGGACTTCTCAATCTAAGCCAGTTATTAATTTCTGTTTAAAGAAAACTATCAGTTTTCAAGTAGATTTTTATCTACTATTTGATCTGAATTATTGAAAATTTTACACACACACACACACACACACACACACACTACACTAATGTAAGACCTATTATAGGACAGAAGTGGTATTATTTAAAACCATATATACTTTTGACTTACCCTTGTATAGACATGAGCATACATACATACATATTGGTGTAGTTCTTTTGTAATGATGTCAGTTCTTCCACTAAGAAAGTTTGATTCTGGTTCAAGCCTAGGAATGGCCATCTAGACCTTGGGCAAGTCTGTTGCACCTTTGCCTATTGTAGTCAGTACATTTGTGTCTTATGGGGGGGTAAAAAAAGTACTACCCTAGAGGGTAAGGGCATAAGCAAACTCCAAATGATGCATGACTATGTTTATACAGATACGTACACATTATACATATATGTTGTACATACATATATGTATAGGTCGTCTCCACAGTTTCAATTTGTTCTATTTGAAATAATGTTGAATTGGTACAAATGAAAATTAATAATTGTGTTGATATTTATACATCGATCTTTTGATATTGGATTTCACTTTGCGTCTTATTTGTCTGCTGCATTGTGGGACACTCTGTGATACTGTGCAAGTCATTGTGTTAGGGTAAAACTCCCCTCCCTCACTCCCCAACACCACCACCACCACAATAATAATAATATTCATTTATGAAGAAGAAAAAAAAAAAGTCTTTCTCAAGGATATCTTTTCCTATTGTGACTTATTAAACCCTGGAATTCTTAGGTCTTGCACTAAAACTTTATTATTTTAAATATATTTTCTTTTATATTTTTTCCTTAAGAATGTTTATTTAAATTGTTTTTTCTTACAGAGATTTTCTATTAAATTATTTTTTTTTCTTTTCTCAACAAAATTTATGAAAAATTTATTGTCTGTTCACAAATTGTTGCAATTTGAGGTTTGCAGGTATTTTTCTTACATTTTTTTTCTTTTCTTTTTTATTTTGCTTTTTAAAATTCTTAAATTTCTATTTGGATATAATTTTTTTGGAAACAACAGAAAAAAAACTATTTTAATGAATTAAATAATACAAATAATTTTTGTATGAATTTTTTTTTTGTTTAATTTGTGGGAAGGAGAAGAAAAATCTTGTTCAAATCTGTTTTCTTTCTCTTCTTCCTTCCCAGTATAGCACTTGATAAGAAGACAGTTTTTCTCTATATTTGCCAATGTCTGCTTTATTCACAGCCATCCCAAAGTTTCCCACCAAACAAACAAACAAACAAAATATATTAAGAAAAAGGAAAAAAAAAACAAAAAACTCCCTCACTTGTGATTGTAATTTGCATACTGCTGTAAATGAAAGGTTAACTGCCACAAAAATAATGAAGTGACAAGCGAAGGAGGAGAGGAGGAGGTGGACAGATCATTCACTTGTCTGTCTATTGCAGGCAGCCAAATGTTTTCATTACTCTTGTTTAAAAAAAATAAATAAATGAAATAAAAAAAAATATCTTATTAAAATCAATACTTATGTCTTAACTTTTTTTTGTGTACACAGACACACACACACACACTTTCTATTCCAGTACCAACCAGAAATTAGGATAATTACGAGTAGTGTTGAAAGGATTTAATCAAAATGGAACTTTTGTTAGTTTTTAATTAAACTTTTATAAATGAAAAACTGATGCTCAAATACATCCTTCCCACTCTTTTATCCCTGGTCTTCTGAACAGGAGTAGAGGTTTATCCTTGTTTCCTGTTTAGGATTGGGTTTCTAGTTCCTTCTAGAATCTACTTCAACTCTGAAATTTTATTTACGAATTATTTTTTTTCCTCCTCAATAGGAGTAGATAGATTCACCTATAGCCCAATTCCCACTCTTTTATCCCTGGTCTTCTGAACAGGAGTAGAGTTTTATCCTTGTTTCCTGTTTAGGATTGGGTTTCTGGTTCCTTCTGAACTCTTTTCATTCTCTTGCATTTTAGTGGTATTAGAATGAATTGATCAAATATATATACCTTTCATTTATGAGGAGTACAACGTAATTTTTGTATTTTGGGTAGAAATCAATTTTCTTCAATCAACTTTGTCTTTACATATATTAAATGGTTTTAAATTTGTTTCAATCTAATGTGGATTATATATAATATATATATATATGTGTGTGTGTGTGTGTGTGTGTGTGTTTTTCATAATTGAAACTTTAAATTTTATAGTTCATTAATTTCCCTAGTAGGTGCAGATGGTTCAACAGTTAGCTTCAAGAATGAAATCTGCAAACCAAGTTCAAAACCAGGCAAGTACAGTTTTACATTCAATTCACACTAGTGTCCTATACTGGATAAGTAATTTTACATTTATACGTTTCATTAAAAACCAGCAAAAGTTCCATTTTGATTATGTTTTTATATTAATGTCATAAACTGGACAAATAGCAGAGAAATCAAGATGGTTGAACATCCAGAACTTATAAAAAATCACAATAACTATAAAAAGTGACTGGGTCTATATAGCTTGGGAGAAATCAAAACAAAAATTATGGTCACTTACGACTGAATAGTGAGTTTGATTCTCACTGGGTGCTCCATACTTTCAGTCTTGTGCCACATCTAAGCTACACTTAGAAAAATCACCAATTTATATCTTTTATTTTTGGTATAGAGAAAAAAAAAAAAAAACTTGCAATACCCTCCAAAAGAAAATTAATATCTCTTGAGAATACTGAGCAAAAAGATTGTGAAAAAAAAAAACAAACAAGTGGCTTACAAATCAATTATTACAAACTTTTTTCATATGAGCAGACAGCTTACATCAAAATACACACTTAGTTGTATTCATTGCAAAACTGATGGTTGGTGAGCAACAATATCTTTCAAATGGAGAAATTCTGGGTTTTACCAGGGCTTAAACCCTAACCACTTACATTATATATGGAATATAGATAACTATCAACAGGCTTCTGTGTATATATATATATATATATATATATATATATACTGTTTTGTTCTAGGCAGCAAATGTTCATTCAAACAATAACAGACAAGTTATGGCTTTGATATTTTGAAAGATTTTTTTTTTTTTTTGATGGTGGATTAGTTTTCATATTTTTGCACATTTTTCATAAATTTTGTTTAACCAACCATGTGGCATCTGAATGTATAAATTGTTTTTTTTTTTTTTTTTTTGGAGAGGTTTGAATATATATATATATATATATATATATATATATATATATATATATATATATATAGTGGTGCAACATGATAGCTGAATTTGAGGATTGTCTGATGCTTGTGAATTTTGGACTTGGACAAATCTTTCTGGCACACAGTCAAGTAAGATGTAGTAAAACTAATGATAAAATAATGAAAATGTCTCATCTAAGAAAATGTGAAGTCAGTTACAAGAAGTTAGCAAGCCTCACATATTGAGCACTAAAGATAGATTTGGAAATTTTATGGCCAGCAACCAAGTAATCTGCTGATGTAAAATTTATCAATCAAATGATATGCAAAGTTCCCTGGGGTCGACTCATGTCATAATTGCAACCAAAGTGCTAGATGAAAATGAATGATACAAGAGCAGGTAGTAATAATTAAAAAACAAACCCAAAACAGTGCTTTTGATATAAAATAAGTTACAATTTATATTAATAATTATATAATATAGTATATACTAAGAATAACTTAGTGTGTGCATATATATATATATAAAGTTTTTTTTTCTTCAAGAAGTTGTATTCATATGTGTAAAAAATTTGACATTTTAAAGTGCATAAAATTTCTATAAAATCCCAAATTAATTTAACATGAATGTTGGATTTTATGGCAAATGCTGTGATTATTTTTAAGCTGATTGATTTTATTAAGGGTAATAGAAGGTCCATTTCCTTTAAAAAAATCAATCAGCTGCATTATTTTTAAGACAAACTCCACCTTTTACTGCAAATGCCCACTTTCAATATCCATCTCCCCATTTCTTACTAAATGGCATCTATATTTGATCTTTTGGTAACAATTCAAACTGGGCATGAATCTCACATTTAACATTCTTTGTAGTCAACTTGATTTGCTGTTGTCTGAAAGAGTTGAACTCTTTTTCTGGGCTACTGTTGGGAAGCAGGCCAAACCATTCATGTGTTTTCTCTTCATGAACCATCAGTGGACGGCCAAGATACTGGTTCATGGTTTCAGCCATGGCACTTGCTTTTTTTTTGGCATTATCAATAGCCAAAAGACTAGCACTGAGCCTGAAGGAAAAGTGGGTAAAAAAAAAAAGGATAAATTAGTATTTTATGATAATAAATATTGTTATATTTTCATAGATATGTTTGGGCATGTTTTTATATGCTTACTAAATGTAAATATTATATTATTTTATTTTATTTAGATACTTGAAAGACATTGTACTAAATAAAACCATGGAAACTATTCCGATATAACATTACTTGAACATTTAAGTTTCCTCACTGACATTGATCCACCAATATCTTAATCGTGGTTGCTTGTCATGTAAAACAAGGGAGACAACTTTCAAATACTTTAACGTTACTTTTTTTTTTTAGTTTCAGCTTTTGGGATGTGTTGTTAAATCTCAAGGAGTTTTCCTTCAAATTTTCTTGATTTAAGTGTAATTCCTTTTCTTTTTTAAGCAATGTTTTGTTCGCTTCATTTTCTAGTCTTTGCCAGCTGAATGCATTTTATTTTAGTGCTATTTAAATTAAAAAAAAAAATTATATCTTTTCATTAAGCTAGCAAAGAAATCACTGGAACTAAGATACTCAAACAGCAAAATACCATACAAAGATTACAAACAGGCCATTAATAAATATATTGGAAAAAAGGTGGCAAGAGCTTTGGTACTCTTGCTCAAACAATAAATTACATAAAATAAAACCAACCATAGGAAATTGGCAGAGCTACACATTGTCCAGAAAAGAGGAAGTGATACTCACCAGGCTCCATTTAAGACATGTCTATCATGCACTCATACCCTACTAAAGGAGGTGGGCAGCCCCAAGGTGCATGACATGACAGGAAGAGCACACAGTAAGCCATATTCTGACAACATGTAAGATCTGAAACTAGCCCAAATCAAATATTACCAAACAAATAACCTGAAAAAACTCTTTACCAGGATCAATCCAGATAACATTTTTAAATTCTTCAAAGAAACACCAATTTACCAAAATCTGAAAAAAAAAACCCTTTTAACTTGCGTACAGTTTACAAATACACAAAATACACTAAATACTACTTTTGACACAACTATAAAGTTAAAAAATATTAATTTCACTCTGAAATAATAATACATAAATATAATATCCCAACCCTACCTGCTTTGACATTAGATGGCTCACTTAGGTGTTGATATGCCATTAAACAAAAACAATCATTAAACTAGAATTTTCATCTTACTGTAGCTTTTTAATGATCGAGGTTGAAACTGACTATTAACATTAATATAAAGTAAGAATAAAGAAGCGTCTTCCAACAGAACTCTAACTCATATTCCAGAAGTTTGTCTTAAGAGATGATGCCTTAATCAACTTGGCACAGTCATTAGTTAAGTGGAAAATAATTAGTTGTATTCAGATAAATATGAGATCTTGTAACCAGTTCATGTAGACAATAGGTTCATCTGCAGTTGTACTGGCGGCTTTCACTGTAGTTAATTGGAGATGCTTCAAAATTCCATGATACAATAAATCAAATATTTTTGATTGAGCTGCTACAAGCTTAGATATGCCACATCATAATTTCCTGAGGTGCCACAAAGCCTAGTATTGTGCAAAAGTAACATTGGTAAATCATTTCTCAATCTACCATGATCATAAAAGTCATAAACTAGCAGATACAAGTCAGCTAATTATGGAGCCAAATCACCTCCAAAAAAGAAAAAAACAGTAGATGAAAGTTAAGGAATGAAAAGAGAAGTCTAAAATGTTTTGTCCACTCAGGATGTAGGCAATCATGACTTTCCATAGATTCCTTTTCTTTCTGATCTGTGAATTGCCATGAGTTCTTGGGAAAGTTAGAGTGGTTTCTTGTTATGTTCTCCATGATTATAATTCAGAATTTTTCTTCTCTTAAGACTGGTTGCTTATCCAAGTTGACAGGGCCTAGTCTACTCTGATGGAGGAGAAGATATAGATTCATGCTTTTCCTAAGTACGAAAGTGAACACAACAGACTAGGCCAGAATTTCAGCTCTGCTTGTCAATTCCGGTTTTTGTGTTGATATCTATTACATTACTTACACATGATGAATAAACCTTTGTGCTTTATTTCTGGTTCTAGTTGTACTGCCAGTTGCAATACAGCATTGAAAGAAAAGTCACAGAAGAATCTGTGAGCAGTTTGCTGAAACCACACAGAAAGATTTTGTACAATTTTTGCCTCAACAATAAAAAGCTTGTTGTCAACTACAATGGTGACAAAGACGGAAGTGCGTTGAGCCTTACAGACAACCAAAAATCAAAGTCTCAGCAACCTAAGTCATTTTCAAATTTGTTGACACTTCCAAGAGTATAAATGGTGTACAAGTTTGTTTTCAATTGGACACCACTTTTGATATGATACTTATTTTAAGAGCAATCTTGGATACAAATGGGGAAATCCCAAATTTCTTCATATACAATGAAATGCAGACCTGGTAATACTCTTAGACTTTACAGAGAATTGAAATGTTTTAATGTTCAGGAATACTCAGACGCAGGCAAGTTTCTATACAACTAATCATCTTGATCCTGAATACAAATCATTTGTTGTTCAATTAGATTGCTAGACAACATATTTAAATTTTCTAGTATGCTCTCTGGATACTGATTGGGCAATCCTAATTCTGGTTTCAGTCATATAATTTTTGGAAGAATTGATACTCAGAAGAGAGAGAAAAAAAGAAAAAAGAAGTCTTCTAAGACCTTTTTTTTTTTTTTTACAATATCCTTTGAGGTATATTTCAATAAGCAGTAATTGTTTTAAATTTTCCCATTATTATTTTGAAGAGCTCTCTTATACAAAAGTACCGGCCAATGTGCAGATGGAGTAATGTTAGCAGTTCGGAATGAGAAATCAGAAAACTGAGTTCACATTCCAGTAGAGTTTATGAGATTCACTTTCCCACAAATATGTTTGGGAAAAGTAAAAATTCATCTATTTTCTTCCCTAGAGCTAGGGAGATTGTTCTCTAGCTGTGGTTGGCAACCAGTCTAAGAGAAGGATACCTGACTTCAAAACCATACCTAACCCTGACAAGGCACATACTATGCAACTATTCACAAAATCAGAGAGTTCACAATAATTCTATAATCTTGACTGCGTTAATGTATTATTATTGTTATTGCGTATTATTTTTTTTGAAGAGGTTTCATTATTTAATTTTTGTGTTAATGCAATTTGTAACTGAAGAGTCTAATTTAGTGGGGTTTTAATGTCTGAGATTTTTATGCAATATATTCATGGATTTTGATGAATTAATCAATTGAAAAAAACAAAAAAAAAACTTTTTTACCAGCAATTCCAAAAGAGGAAAATGGAGAATTTTATATTACTAATGCAATTTAAAATTTTTAAGAGGAATTTTTTTATTTTCCATTTAAACATCAGATGTAATATTGTTATAAAATTATTATTAATTTTTGACAAGTATTTACTTTTTTTCATTCATTGTGAGTTGCTTTTTTCTACAGCAGTGCGTAGACAGTACACAATCGGAAATAATGAACAAGCTATTGTTAAGTCATTGGTGGTTTCATGTCTCTGTTACCTTTTCAGTCCTTCATTTTTAATCCTGCATTGTCTACTCATTGTTGAAGATTGATGGCCCGAGTAAAAATTGCAATAAAAAGCAAATCCCAATTAAGATGAAAGTAAAAACTGGTCAAAATTATGAATAATAATGATAATTGTAAATAATTTTTCTAATAAAAAAGTTAAAAAACTTATTTGTATTAGTCACAGTATTAAGTCCATATATTTAGGGGAAGTTAGCAAATTTCACCTGTTCAGCACTGAAGATCAATTTGAAAACTTTATGACTAGTAACCAAGTAAATGAAAATACTTAATTTTTTAATTTAAATGGCACTAAAATATAATACATTCGGCTGGCAAAGACTAGAAAATGAAGTGAACAAAACATTGCTTAAAAAACCCGAAAAGGACATAAATTTAAATAATCAGGAAAATTTGAAGAAAAACTCACCGAGACCTTGAAAAAATCTATTGAATAAATGAGTGAAATAGGTTATTAAAATAATGTTCTCACCTCAGCTTCTCAACGTTTTGTAGACTGTGGTAAAGCTGAACAGGACCGACATCAACAGCATTTGAATCGAGTTTCTCGATCAAAAGATTCCGCAGTTCATCGCAAGTTTTTAAATTAGAAAATGTGAGTTTTATGTCTGCAACCAACGTATTCAATTTCTCTTCTCTGGAGAAAGTTTTATATACTTCGAGTTTTGTTTCCTTGAAAAGAAAGAAAATATTCAAATGTTTTACCAGTGAAATTTAGTGGGGATGATCAAAATATAAATTCGGAAATATTTTGACAGTCAATGGTTAGTCAGACTGAGAGATTCAAATAAAATTGTCTACATTTGTGTTTGTTTGTCTGTAATACAAAACTTTTTAGAAACAAAAAGAATATTTTTCATTTAGGCTTTGTAATTAATTAAAACTGGACCAAGCAGATTTTTAAAAATTTTCTTATATTAAACATTTTTATAATTTCTATTGTAATGGGGGAACACTATGGCAGAAAAGGTTATTCTCCCATTTGTATTTCCCCCATTATGGGCATTATTGTGTCCATGATATAATAACAGTGTAATTCATGGATGGGATGGCTGAAAGGAAAAGAAATGACAAACATGCTTTGTTCTGAGAGCCTTTCATACTACTAAGACATAGACAAAAATATATATACATGTATCCCATGCAGAGAAAAATATATCACCTATATCAAATGGTAAAGTAAGGTGAAACAAAAAGGAAGTGTCTTACATAAAATATGGAGATACTCCAGTGTTTGTAGAAGCCATGTTTAAGACTCTAGATTCATCTGGACCAAATTCATCTACTATGTCCCAGGCGAAGACATGTTCCACAAATGGGAAACAGTGAGTCTTGGCCTTCCCAAATTGTGGACTGCAAGTTGGAGTTTCTTTCTATATCTGGGGAAAAATATATTCTCAAAGGGGAAATGGTGCCATGGACTTGTAAGCTGCTGGGGAGATAGATTTAGCATCTGCCCAAATCGGTGGGTTGGGGGGGCTAAAAAACACCAACCTCTTGCTTTGGCTACTGTAAACCAACTGAATTTGACTGACATTTTTGTTACTGTATGGAGTGACATCGCTAAGCCGCTGTCATTTGACCTACGTGACTTATCTTGACTAAAGAGAGGTAATTGTCTTCTGTATCCCTACACTATTATATTATTAGTAACCGTATGTCATCTTCTTTGAGAGACCAGAAATATACACACTTCTCAAAAAAAAAAAAAAAAAAAAAAAAAAATCAAGAGCTTACATAGCCTCACGATGTCCCATGAATAGTCAAATAAAATTTGTCAGGCTCTCTATGAAAGAGAGCTAGAGAAAGCATCCGAGTTTGGTTACTACCTGACATATGTGGATGTTTTGTTTGGTGAGGTTAGTCACTATTTGCTTTTTTGCTGTTAAAGTTAACAGTGTGAAATAAGTAAAGAATTACTGATTTCATATTGTTTATTTCACTTGCATCCAATATACTGGGAACTCATCTTTCATGGATGCTGACTTAATGACTTCAGCTATGGAAGCCTGATGATTAAGCAAAGCACAACCATTTAACAAATAAGAGAACGAGGAGGAAGAATGATTAAAGATTAGTATCCGACATGATCATCAAGTATTTGCAGCTGAAGTGATTAAATAGGCACCCATGAAAGACAGGCTCCTGAGGTGTGGATGGTGAGTTCAAGTCTCAGCAAAAGCTAAATTTTTAGTTTCAGTTTTGTACAGTTTTAGTGGTTGAAGAGTGCATCAACCCAAAGTATAATGATGAAAGACAGTAATAATACAATAAAATAAACCTAATACTAAAGTTAGAGTGATAACAGCATAACTAAAACATATTCAAGCTTAACAGCAAGGGTAGGTTTAAGGCTCCAAGTGTGAGATTTAGGGTTGCCCCATGGGACAATAGCCTAGTGGGCTAAAGCATTGGTTTGTGAGTTTGGTGACATAGTAATTGTCAGTTAAATCCTTAGTACAAACAGGATTAGCAATAACTGAGCAGTACTAAATAAGAACTAAATGAGATATCCCTAGAAATAGACAGTAGAATGAGAACAGTCTACTTCTGTAGATTAAATAAAGGACATAGAATCTTATTTTATAAGGTAAGAATTTGTCATAACAGAATTGTATAATTTTTTTTCACAAGTCAATGAAGAAAAGACCAACTAAGTTTTCCAATGTTGAAGTTTTGATAAAAATACTCTAACATTGGAAAAAGAAGTTGGTCTTTTTCATACAATTCTGCTGTGTAATAACTTTTTAAACCAATTTTTTTAGGGATGATAAAGCTCCAAATATTTTCTGCATAACAAACACACTGAATTAGCTCCCTTACATTCCCTCCTCAATTTTTTTTTTATTTATTTTTATGTTTATGCTTCTTTTATTGATTGATTGATTTATTTATTTATTTTGGGGAACAGGCCTCATATCGCAATGCTTTTTTGGGATTTGAAAAGTCATGTATCTGAAGTAACAGTCTAATACTAAATAAAGTACTTGAGTTAATAATACAATTTCTTGAAAATGCACCAAGAAAGTTGATTTTTTAGACAAAGTTTACTGAAAGTAAAAATTTATCAAAATAAATTTGGTAAATTTTTACTGTTACACCCACCTCTCTTATTGACCCCTTGTGCCTAATTAATTCCAGCTTTAGTTTACCGCAATTGGCTAATTGACTACATATAAGAAGAGCATAAAATAACAGTTGGGGATAAGACAGGTGTAATAGTAAAATAAAGCCTTTGTTTCTATTGATGTTCCCCAAAATTTATGAAAATAATAGAAAAAAAAGAAAAGAAGACTGCCCACCCTGTCAACCAGACAAAACAGCTCCTTACCCAATTAGATTATTAAATTACAAGTTATTTTAATTTCCAACATATTTCATATTGTATTCTCATATTAATATTATTTAGGTACCTACAAAAACTTTCTTGAAAAGAGCATACCATTGTAAGAAGGTAGAGTTGAGGAAGAAAGATTTATTCTCCCATTTGTATTTTTTGTTGTTATGGGCATTATATGCATGATATAATAACACCGATTTTTCATGGATGGAACAGAATGGCTGAAAGGAAAAAGAATGACAAACATGTTTTGTTCTCAGAGAGATTTTTATAATACTAAGACATACACAAAAATATATATACATTTGTCACATGCAGAGGATAATATATTACATATCTACATGGCAAAGTAGAGTGTAAGGAGAAACAAAAAGGAAGGGTCTTTCATATAATATGGAGATACTCCTGTACCTGAAGAGGCCATTTTTAGGACTCCAGATTGAAATGAGCTGGATTCATCTATATCTCAAGTGAGGACATATTCTATGAACTGGAAACAGTGAGTCTTGAGTTTCCTTAAATTGAGGACTGTGAACCAGAGTTTCATTCTATATCTGGGAGAGATATATTCCCAAAGGGAAATGACACCATGGACTTGTAAGATGCTGGGGAGGGAGATTTAGACTCTGCCTGGGTCAAAGGAGGGGGGGGACTGAGCTAAAGAAAGCAACATTACCGTTTGGTTACTGTATATAATTTAAAAATGGCTGGCACTTTTGTCACTAGAAAATTATGTCATTAAGTGGCTGTCATGTGACCCATGTGACATATCTCAACCAAAGGGAGATAAGCGCCTGTTGTATCCTTACACCATGATGAAAAAAGGCTCCTAACTTGATAAAAACAAAGTTTTATTGTCAAAAAAATGTTTACGTTATTAATAAGAGGAAAATTCAAAGTATTTTTTGATTATTTATTAAATTTTTTTTATTCCTTTCTAGTACATTCAAAATTTTAGTTAAAAATCTTATTTTTCTTGCATCAGCTGCTGGGTGAAAGCTTAGTATAGGGATTTTACTAGCATTTTTTTCTTGCAAAAACCAAATAATTGTCAGATTTTAATGAACTTTTTAGGGCTTAAAACACCATTTACTGAAAATTTATTCTGAATAGTAAAATAAAAAATGCAATAAAACTATGACATTATTTAATTAGAAAAGCTTTTAATTGCTTTTATAAATAAGATTAAAGACAAGAGTCTTGAGAAAAAGAATATCATTGGTTATTGTCTGTACTGTCAAAGTGACTAAAAGAGAAATGAATATTTTTCCAAATTTTTACCAAAATATATTTCTCTATTATATATTAAAAAAATGATCTATAGAAATAAATTCAGAGATAATTTTTTAGAAGTAAATTTCAACAAAAAAAGCGAAAGTGAGTGAGGTAGGTGGCTCTAGAATAGAGGTTTAAATTATTGCTAAACTAGATTCAGATTTGTGTTCATTATCTTAATGCAAACGTGCATAGTTTTCAAGTACAGAAGCCCAAAAAGGGAATTATTAATTATTTTATTGAGATGATAACCTAGTTGTTGGGATCAGGGTTTTCATGACACTATGAATTACTTAAGTTTCATTACTTTCAAAATTATGGATTTGTGAAAGAGACCTGCATAATAGAACAAACACAAAGTAAGGGTCTAGTTTAAAGTTATGCTTACATTGTAAATTAAATTGAATCCTGGTCTAAAAATAAAAGAAAAATTTTTTAAAGAAATAAAAGTTATATTCCTTTTAAAAAAGCACATATGGTTAAGAAAACTATATTTTCATACTTTGATTAAAAGTTTTGTTGAATCAAACAAAGTGAATCATTTCTCTATTAGCATATAATACATTTGAAAGACATGAGAAGGTAATGGCCTCTGGCTGGCAACTTATAACTTGCAGTGGAGTAATGGATATTGGCTTGGATTGAGGAATCGGAGAGCAAGTTCAGATTCCAGTTGAATCCATTACATCCACTTACAAGCTAATACCCTTAGGAAATGTATGAATCCTCCTCTTCTCCCCCCAGCTATGGGTAAATAGCAGGACAAACTGGGTTCTACAGCCTTGGATGGCAACTGGTCTACTGCAGAAAGAAATGGCAACTTACTGTGGGGAAAAAAATCTGCCTCGTCAGTCATTTATCGAAAGATACATGATCACCCTAAGTGTGTATCATGCATGGCATTAAAACAGAGAAATACCTCCAATCACACGTAAATATTTTACCATCAGAAAATTTAATACTAATTAGAGGACTATGAAAAAAAAATCAAGAATTATTGGCTGGGGACATTGATAGTTACTTAATAATAACAATAATATTGATGTTTTCTCCTAGAAATCAAAATCAAAGGACATGACTGGAACACAACTTAATAGCTTTGGAAACAGACAGTAAATATTATTGAAATGGTTTTGTCATCAATAACAAATGGAAGAATGATATCCAGAGACATTGAACAACAACCATGCAATGATATTGCTATTGTATGATAGTATTTTACAACAAAAAAAAAAAAAAAAAATGAATTAAATTCTTCAAAGACTTCTGCTTTCAATTTATATAATCAATAAAATTTACAACATTTAATTTCTTGAATTTTATAAAACTAAGTGGTGGTGAAGGGAATGGATGTAAAAAAAAAAAAAAAAATTTACCAAGACTTTCTAAAAAGAAAGTTTCATTTCATTCATTTGTGAATAAGTTCTGAACGTTTCATTAAAATCCAACAATTATTTGATGTGTTTTTTACCAGAAAAAAAGCACTAAAATTTGCTGTGTTATTTAATAGTGCAAAAAAAAAAAAAAAAAAAAATGAAGGATGAAAAAAAAATAATCAAAACACTTTGGTCGTTCCATTTAATGTAAAGATTTTGATGATAAAAATTAGTTTTTGTAAAGTCTGGGGCATTTTTTTCATCAAAATATGCCATACTTCAGCAAATTCGTGAACACATACATAATTACATCCACTAATTGGGTATATGTAAAATGAATTTTTAAAGATGAAAAACTTTTTTGAAGCTTTCATTTTAGCTTTAATTGAAAACTAAAAGATTTAAAATGTACTATTTCCAGTCAGCAAAATACTCTGTGGTGTATTTCAAACAGAAATTATATTGAATGAAAAACAATTTCTTTTTCAGTAAAATCAATAAAAATTGGTCATTTTGACAGATTTGTAAATAAAAGTTAATTCTCAGTTTTTAAAATCTTTCAAAAATACATATTTCTGAAACGTTATTTGAGGAAAATTAGCAAATTTAAAGTTAAATTAATCTGATATGAAACAAATATTACTTGTTTATAGCATAAAATGTATGTAAATATTTCTTAACCACAGGATCTTGTTTTTCTGACATGTTAATTTATTTACAACCAATTAACTACTGAATGCATTCATAGTTAAGTATGATGGAGCAGACAAACTTTATAAGCCTTAAACCCTTAAAACACATGACCTTTTAATGATAGATTTATCAGTTTGTACATCCATACTTCTGAAATTTTTCACATAATGACACACAAAAAAATTGAAATTCTTTTAAAAATATTTGGGGTGGTCGGATTGTAATAAGCTTTACAATATATGATTAGTAAATATAGTTTTACTTAACAACAATATTTTCTAGGAGTTATCACATTGAAACTGAATTTTAAAAGATTTAAATTTTAAAAACTTTAAAAATTATTCAATTTAAAATTGTAAAAAATGAAAACAAATCTTTTAAAAATTAATTTTTCATTGAAAAATTTTTTTTTTGGTAATATTGTCTTTAATATATATTATTCATAGCAATTAAAAACTTCTCTAATTAAATAATGTCTTAGTTTTAATTGGGTTTTTTATCTTTTGATTCAGAACATATTTTCGGTAAGACCAGGTTCGATTTTACAAAAAAAAAAAAAATCAAAAAAAAAAATCAGTGATTTAAATTCTTCAAAGGATTCTGCTTTTAATTAATATAGTCACTAAAATTTATCTCGTTGAATTTCTCAAGTTTTCATAAAATTAAGTAAGGGGTTGAAAAACATGTAAAAAAATTTTTTACCAAGATTTTCTAATAAAAAATAATTTCATTCATTTGTGAATAAGTCCTGAAAATTTCATTAAAATCCGACAATTATTTGGTTTTCGCAAGAATTTCCAAATTAATGTGTGTCAAAAAAAGAGGCTAAAATTTGCTCTACTTTTTACTTACAACCGCTGACACAAGAAAAACAAGTTTTTTTAATCAAAATTTCGAATGTTCTTAAAAAAAATAAAATAGAGTAAAAATGTAATTAAATTTTAAAAAATACTTTGAACCTTCATCTTAAAGAATTTGACGATAAAAGTATATTTTATTATGTTTTTGGAGCATGTTTTATTGACGGTTTGCTGAAATTTAGCGATTTCGTGGAGGTACAGGTCTTGGAGAGGATGCAAACAAGGAGGAAACTTAAACATAAGGAAGAGGCAGGTGAAATTTCTGGGACACGTGATGAGAAAGGAGGGCCTGGAGAATCTGATACTCACGGGGGACGAATGGGGGGAAAAGAGACAGGGGAAAGCAGCGAATGACATACGTGGCGGGTTTGGGCTGATGGATGGCGGAGCGTGGGTCTGGGGGAGTTGGCAGAAACACAAAACCTGTGAGCCACAAGGGACGAGGGGAAGTGGAGGGCCATGATCGTCTACGTCCTGAAAGGACACGACACATAAAAAGAAAGACCTTTTATTGTGTGTATATAACGAACAATTACATTTACAAGAACTATCAATAAAATTCCACCATATTAAAAACATTGAAAAGCTTTAAAAAATTTGCAGTCGGTAGCTAAGGACAAAGAGGTTTTTTAGCAGAGTCTGATTAAAGATATTTAATTTATAAAGTTGATGAAGATAAGAAATCACACTAATTTACGGTGTGCCTTCAAGTCAAAGATGATGAAGAGGAAAAATCCAATTTATTTACCTTATTGAATTCACAATTTTTCACGACTTGTTCTATATACGACAGACGTCGTGTGACACTATTTTTAACATCATCAATGTTTTCCTTGCTTGATCGAATGCAAACTTGGAAACTGTGACAATCTGGGGGAGACGAAACCTCACCCAGACCAACAACCGAAATTTGACGAATGAATTTCGGAATTTTGGAATCCTGTTGCTGCATATTTGCAGCTCGAATTTCGTCTTCCTCTTTTGAAACGGCAAAATAGTTAACAGAATCTTTTTTCATGCTAATATGAATTAAATAAAAAAAAAAAAGAAAAACCGATTTAGAAAATAAATATATAACTGATGTATTAGAATGAAACCGTCCAACCGCGTGTATTGTAGATTTGTGTTGCTTGACAACAACAAACGGTGAACCTGTAATTCACAAAATTGAGAAAAAGAGTTACCTCCCTTGATTTTCGAATTTTTCCAGGAAAAAAAAGTCGTTGGTGATTGTGGCTTTCCACGTGAATAATGACAACTTAGAATTTAACGAAAGAGATGAGTTGTAATTGAACACGATCGGATGAGTGTGCGCACATAAAATATCAAACAAGTAGATGAAGGCAAATTTCCTTTCTGTAAAGTTCAAATGAAGTTTCACGAGTTTATTTATTTATTTTAAAGTTTTTTTAAACTAAGGCTTTTAGACATTTCATTTATTTATGAAATAATGTTTTTACACAGTGCCCGATTTTCGTATGGGCTGCAACCAAGGGGACCTTGATAAAGCTAAAAAAAAAAAATTAAAGATATAAGAACGGGGGGGGGGGATTTGTTTATTTTCAGATTTAATGGGGCTCCTTTGAACTAATTTTAAAACAATTTGAGAGTAGACACCCTTCCAGTTGGACCGGGTCTTTTAAATTCGATGGTCTCCCTTGAAGAATATAAAGTTCGGATAAAAATATCATGAAGTTGGCTAATGAAATAAAATTTGGATGAATTCCAAAATCATTTAAAATTTTAGTTGAAGTGTTTCGTGTTTTACACACCCAAATTATTTTACAAATCATTTAGAGATGAGATGGCTAGATGTCAAATTCTATGCTAACAGTTTCTTCTCTCGGACTTCTCACTTGTGGAACTTCCTTCCTGCTCCATGCTTCCAGCCAACTTTAATCTACAAAAAAAAACTTAAATGCAATGTCAATCGCTATCTTCTGCCCACCTGATTACTCTCTTCTCTTTCTGCTCATCATTAATGTTTCTGTTCCTAATTCTTCCACCGCCTGTAACCCCTTGTGTTTTTAGTGGCATTATGCCTCCTTGCTTGGGATGATTCCGATTATATATATATATATATATATATATATATATATATATATATATATATATTTTATATATAAAGTTTTTTCGTGATACAGAATTTAATAATAGATAGGAAAAGATAATAATTATCTTATTATCTTTTCATATATATATATATATATATAATATAAAACACTGGGGAGGGGCGAACATACGTAATGAAGAAGAGGCTCCCAAAATTTATTAATCCAGACAGGGGCCTCTTAATGCCAGAATCCGGCCTTAAACGTTAAAATATTAATCATGACATTTTCATAATAATGCTATTAATACGAGGCAATACCCATAAGTGGTAAAACAAGAAGCAAAGGCAAAGAGACAAAGATTAAATATTTGAGTGAGGGAGAGATTATCCAAATTATAAAAATTTAATTTTTATGAATTTAAAAATGTTATAATCATCTAAATGTATAATCGTCTCGGTTGTTTTTTTAATGCACGTTCTTTTGAGAGGAGTGTATTTTTTATGTACGCCAGACGGTTTGTGTAAAAATTGCCACAATTGTGTATCTTTTTCACCTCAGCGGTTAAAACCCGCCAAAATTTTAAGGATCCATTTCTAGTTTATGGAAAATTATTTTTTTTTGTATTTATTGACCAATCAGCGACGTGGTTTCACCTCAAGTGTGGTCGAAGTGATCCGAAATTTTAAAATGAATAGAGTTCAGGTCAGTAGATAGGAGAAGAAGACTACCCGACCTCCAGCTGGAGAAAAATTGGTCAGAAGTACAAGCAAAAGTGGGCGCGGTGGTCGGGACTTGGCGCCGAAGAAGCTTGTCCTTGAAGGGCAGGGCTGAGGCGTGTGCCACTTACGTCTTTACCATTTGTCCATATTTTCTCTCTGTAAGTGGCGTAAGAATTCTCCGTCTTAGGGCGGGGATGTAGGCATCACGTCGACAGAGAAGTACCGCTACAGAAGTCTGTGCCCATCGTCCATGTCATGGGGCGCTGGGAATGCCGCATTTGGCGAGTCACAAGCTCGCCTCGAGGCTGGCTTTTCTACGCCGTGAATTGATAGGGGACTCGATTTTGGTGGGGATTGTGAGAGCCGCGTTCCATTTCCTTACTATCACTTCTCCCATCTCACGGACTGAGCGCTTTCGTAAGCCCCGGGATCAATCAAGTTTCCTTCGCGAGTGTCGATCGGCCTTGAGGGTCATTCCTCGGTCCAGTGACCTTTCTCGTCCTAGGAGAGTCTTCTGTCGTGAACTAGTGGAGGGGATCGCGAAGGATCCACTTTGCGACCGGCTCGGCTTGTCGGCGGACGAATTTCGCTCCACAAATTACAATACAAAATTATAAACAACGCAAGGAAATTATATTCGCAGAAAAGGAAAAAGACAAGTTAAATATGACGACAACAACATACAGTAGATACATGTATTTACATGTTAGAATTCAATTGTCTTTGTTGTGGCCATGTAGTTGAGACCAGTAGTTCGAGTGTTCAAAGTGAATTGTTGCAAGTGAGTCTGCAAAGTTCGAAGATAACTTGTACGCCAGTATATGTGCGTGTGTGTGATTGCTGACTGGTATGCGATAGCAGTGATTTAAAAAAACAATGGAAAAAAAAAGAAAGGTATCTGGAACTTACTTTTGTCGCGGCTTTGTATGTAGAAAGATCATCGCTGAATGGTGCGTTGTCATAGTAACATGTGTCGAGGCTGGATTTGTTGACTGACCGATCTGTTTTGCAGTTCTGTCTGCTGACCGTCCTGTTGCTGACAAGCTGTTTTTTTTTTTTTTTTTTTATTGTTTTGGGATCTGCTCCGAATCGCTGTCTGAGTTTTGCACAGGAATGTATTTAGTAGCCCGTGCCCTGGTCATTTGGAATTCAGTTGCGCGGACGTCGTAGAGAGAACATCGCGTGGTATGTCATATCCAAACAGATTCCAGAAATCACTTATTTAATTTTGGAGCAGAATTTTGTACAGAATTATAAAAAGGTTTTCGTATCTACTGGGTTTAGTGAGATTTATTTGAACGTGTCTCTTTGTGTTTCACTTATTGGCCGTAAAATATAGGAGTTTATATCCTATACCATTCGTATCACGGCTAACAAGTACAGAAAAACACAGTGCTTTCCTCATGTCTGATAAGGAGCTTATGTTGGTACAAACAGAACTGGCATCCAGGACAAAGAATTGTCTGTGCAGCATGCAAACTATCTAGCTTTCAGTAGGTTCGCACATGGGGCGTATGAATGGGCAGTGAAAGAAGGCGTGATCAATAGACTCCTACATTCCACCGCACCAGACGCATTCTGGCGAAACAACCAGTCCCACTGCAAAAGACTTTTTACCGACCCAGAGCTCATTCCGAATCACTAGCCATGTGGGTGATGCCTCATCATTAGTGAGGTATTTTAACCCGGATGTCCAACGCCACATGTAGCGAAACTACAACCCTCGATAAGATCATCGTGAATGCCCTCCTAACACCCAATATAATGCCTCTCTTGACAACGGCTGCATCTCAGAGAGGTCAAGTTTGTATCCGAAAAAGTAATTTTGAGTGCATGGAGCACTTGCTTCGGGACAAATGGTAGATCACCCTTCAATCGAGTGTACATTCTTTAAAGTCGAGAAAAATGTTTTGACATCTTCCTTCCAGAAGCTGCCGTTTCCGTCAACCTATGTACAAATCCAATCAAGGAAATGCAGTCGCAAAATATCTCGATGGGTCTTTGTCCAGAATTCCAAAACCGCCCTCGGACAGATAGAGGCAGCAGGCCTCACGGCGCACGATAGGAGACTAAACCAAACTCTCACTAGATAACCTAGGTTGGTGGACCGGAATGGTAGAACTGAAAGGCGGTAAAGGACAAGAGGTTATATGTATATAACGCACACCTCGATCCTTACTTTCAAGGAAAGAATCCTTCGCAGTTACAAATTAACTGCAGATACGACCTCATTCAGAACTTCCGACAATTCTTCTACAGCTTGAGGTCGGGGCCAAACCAGACACCGAGTTTCTTGCACGATCCATCCGTCAAACTGAAGAGTACATGGACAGAACCGAAAGCCAACAGGCTTACCGAGTTTAATCATGGCTCTTGTGAGTCTCATAATCTGGATTTCTCTTCCCACTTCGTCGATCTTGGAACTGCTCGTTACAGGCGTAAAATCAGTGTCAGCGTAGTCGGTGTAACTGGCCGACGCGGTGGCACCAGGTCATGAGATCCCACCAATAACTGGGTTTGCTCTCAGCTTGCACAGGAAACGCTCCAGTGTAGGGACAGCTCTGATGAATGGTTCTGGACAAGATGAAGAGTTTCGAACTTACCTTGTTTACTTGCACCGGAGTCCGCATACAAGAGGCTAATCCAAGAGCGAAAGGGAACCTTGAATCTGGCCGCGAACAAGACAGCCTCCAAGAAACGATGGTCTACCCTATCAAAACCCTTGAACTGATCTAAATTGATCATCGCGGCTTTTTCGACCTTCTCTATGATCATGCGAACCAACTTGGATTGTCCAACCTTTTACAGCACGTCTGTTCAGCGGATATGAGACGACCGAGCACAACCTACAAATGGCTCCGCTATCACTTATCCAGAGTATTTATCTTTGCGTTAAGCATCGTTAAGGGCCTAAAATTACCAATCCCGTCCTCTCCATGTTTGTTATTGCATAGAATAGCCCCCCGTTTTATCCAGCGAAGAGAATTTGCAGCAAGGGGACAAATATGGATGACAGCCTCAAATACGCTTCGTAGAGAAAACCATCAATGTCTGGAGTCTCATCCTTTCCGATCTGTTTCAACGTTTCCCATATTTTTTTCCTGTTATGCAACCCTCGCAACTAGCTGCTTCAGTTGCCCCGAGGCGAGGAAAGTCAGACAAATTGTTATCGAACTGAG